CCACATACATAGTGAAGGAAGTTTTATCCTAGAATTAACCCATCAACAAAGTAACACATTTAAAAATCCTAAACATATACTTTATTCTTATCACTTCTTCCCTCATATGGATTTTTTCCCCCTTAATTAATACGAAGTATCTTCATGTTTTTAAAATCCTTAGGGTTTTTTTTTTCTTTAAAAAAACAATTGTACCTCACTCTTACTTTATCTATCTTTTGGCACTTCGATCTATTTTACTTAATCATCTTTTTTTTACACTCACTCATTACATCAACATTATCTAGTTTCTCTCTCAATATCCTCAATTTACATGTAAAAATTAATAAGTGTAAAACCTTTTGAAAATGAGAATAGTATTTCATTTTAAATTTTCTTTACGTGGGAGTGACCAATTTTTATATTAAAATATTAATTAATAACACACAAATTTATTAGCGTTTGATAAATCCATTGGGCTATTCACCAGCCCACGTCAGATTACATACAAACTCAGCAAAGTTTCATCCTAAAGTCAATTCTTTAATGCGTGAGTTATTTTCTAAACATATCGTGACCTACGTGATCTAAGAATTACCTAGGAAAGAAAAATTAGAAGATTAGGTCCCATTTGTATTTGGATCGTTTCATACTATTTATTCTATTTTCCAATTTACATTCCATAATATAACTCAAAATTCTTCAACTAGATTCGAAGTCAACATCAAATCACAAGAGATTTGATTTATTTGCTTAACTGGCCTAAGGTGGTGTAGCTTTCATCTTGCAACATTGAAATGAAAAGTGACACAGAAAGCAGCCATGACTTGTTAATGGTCCACACACAGTAATCATAAGGCCCAAAATTTTATTTTAATAAATATAATTCAAGAATTATTATCATGTCATGCATAAGAAGATTTCCATAGATGGGAAAATTAACTTCCCTTGACTTTTTGTTAATTAATGTCAACTTTGTTACTATGACTTAAATTCATATGTACTTCTATACTACCAGTACAAGTATAATTATTGAATGCATGAAATGCATACAAGAAAAACATGAAAAACAACTCAATTTACTTTAACATGAGCTTGAAAACATCAAAAATCTAAGAGGGATAAAAAAAGTGAGTGTTTTAGATCGTTCAAAATTTAGACATCAATAATTTCTTAAGTAATATATACTTCGTACTATGTGTACTTGTACTCTATAATATACTGTAAATTGAGAGAAATTTAATGAAGACAACCATAATATTATAAAAATTATATGGTCACAACTATTATACATTAATATTTACAGAAATATGAGTTGTCGATTTATTTATAGAAATGTCATGGTGACTGGACAAAATTGTTGATCTATTTGCCATTTTATAAGTGAATTGCTAAACACCGCCAACAAAAATGATCACCACCGCCAACATTCGGTGTGAATGGACACTCGTACCCTTATTACTTCACCACCCCTTATCCTCCAGGCGATGACCACCATTACTCTGATCGGCGACCCACCATACCCTCCTCTATGACGACCCACCACCTTCCCTCGCCAGCGGTAAGGTGGTGGTTTAATATATATATATATTTTTTATTTCAGGCAACCGCGGTAAACGGAGCCCAAAATCGGTTACCATGAGCATTAACCGGAGCCCGAAACCAGTTATCGTGCACGGTAACTGGTTTTGGGCTCCAGTTATCGCCCACGGTAACCGGAGACCGATTTTGGGCTCCAATTACCGTGCACGGTAACCGGTTTTGGGCTCCGGTTACCGTGCACCTTAACCGATTCCATGGTAACCGGAGTCCAAAACCGGTTATCGTGCCCGGTAACCGGTTTTGAGTTCCGGTTGGTATGGTTGTCAGAAAAAAAAAACCACCACCTCTCCGCCAAAGAGGGAAAGTGGTGGGTCATCTTTGAGGGGGATGTGGTGGGTCGCCGGGCAGGGTGGTGTGGTGGTGGTCGTCGTCGCCGGTCAATGTGGTGGTGGTGTTAGTCGTCAATTGTGGTGGTGGTGTTAGTCGTCAATTGTGGTGGTGGTGTCAAGGTGTTCGTTATTGGTGGCAAGAGGGAAGATGGTGGTGAAATACTAAGGGTATGATTGTCAATTTACACTAATGTTGGCGGTTTTGATCATTTGAATGGCGGTAAGAGATAAACCGGGACTTCCTCTTATACTTTTGTATAAGATTATCTAATATACAATTAATATTTGAGAAACTGTTTAGAGGACCGATCAATTGGCTAGACCATGATGTGCTAATACGAGAAATCAATTGACTAGATAGTTGTATGTGTTAAGATCTTTTTTTTATCCGTCTCACTTTTATGCATATATTTTTAAAACGCATAATATTAGGTATTGACACTCCAAGTTTGCATTGCAAAGAGAAATTCTAAACCAATACTCTTAGTAAGAAAAAGGGATCATATTGAGAAAAAAACAACCTAGCATGTGATAATTTTCAATACTTTGTATATTATTCACATCTTCATCCACTTATCTTGTCAATATGACCCACTCCAAAAGTCCAAATGAACAGTTAAACGCACAATTAGGGATATACATAATCGATTTTCCATTATTATTGTTTGATTAACTTTCCATGTAATTAAATTTGTGTATAATATAGCTAGTCTATTCAATCTCTTAGCATCAACAGTCCAAAAGGCAAACAATGAAATTATTTAATACTTTTAGATCTAGGGGAAACATGATGAACAATTGAAATGACATTCATTAAAGTGTAATTATATTGCCTAAAGTAGGTCATTATGTATATAATCTATCTTCACTATTTTCCCTAAATGAGTGCCGTTGTGTTGTAGGCTATGACAATGAAAACAAGATTAAGACTGCCTTGATGGTCATGATAGGCAAGCCACCCCGATTAGTGATTTTTTAGTTTCACACGAAGTTATAATTTTTAGTAAGAGACTATGAACCACTTCACATGTGAATGACCATAATTTTTCATTATAGATAAATGAATGGTGATTTTAAAGTGGTCAAACTAGTATGAATAGGTATAGTGGTTCGTGAAAGATAAACTTAATCAAATAAATATTATTCTTGTTTAATAAACATATATGGTACACACGTCACATATGACATATTATACTTATTAGGTTCACACTTGTATGGTGTACATGAATGTGCTATATACACACATACACGACTAGTGTGGGTATGAAATATATTGTTCATATGCATCATTCAACTCCGATTACTCTCGAATCTACGACAAAAGTTGAGGAAGCTAAGAGAGAGTTCATTCATTGAGAATATGAATAGAGGAAGTAATTAATAAAGTCATCATGATGAGTTAGTAAAGAATTTAGAAAGTGTACAATAGAAGAAAGCACAAGATGCCTAGCTAAGAGCTAATACAATAAAAACAAATTTGACCAGCGGCTCAATATATCTTCATACATTATATATAAGTGAACAAAAGTGGAAAAACTTTGCTTTTGTTTTGGTTTCTTTGAATAAGTAAAAAAACTCCAAAAATAAGTTTCTCTAATTAATTATTGTAAGAACTTTCTTACATGAACTTTCATACATACCTTGCTAAAATATTTAATTTGTTCAAACAAATTAAAGTAGTAGGGAGGAAAGATTATCTTGTAAAAATGTACTTTAACTTTTATTTTGTGCTATCTTTTGTAAAAGTATAATCAACCACTAAAAGATATACCTATCATTTTCTCATCAAATTTGTGTTCCCACCAATTTGATTAAATAGTGATTAAATTATTTGAAGATGACTCATACCATGCAAGCTTACTACGTACAATATAACATACTTACATACATAATATTATATGCACCCTAATGTTGTGACCAAGAATAATAGAATATACACATTTATTCATGTAAAGAGAAACATTATGTAAGAAAGAGTCAAATTTATGACTCAGAAAAACACATGTATTCTAAAGAGGGTCAAACACTACATCTTAGCAATCCCTTAATATAAGGAAGAGTGTTGGATACTTGACTAATGGAGTAGATTTGAATATATTGTTAAACAAAATTCATGTTGCAATTTATAACCATAACTCAAATTATATTGTGCACTCGGGAGTACTAATATGGTGTTATCGATTTGTATTATATAATCACAATTAACCAGTGAGGTTGTTGATGTGTGACAGTGTAAGACATACATTAATTAATTTATATGTGATTGACATGAGTAACCATTTTGAAACCACATCGCCCGTGAACATGAGATTGGGATATAACCATTGTTGAGGTAAGGACGAAGTACAATAATTTGTATGTCCTATTTGTCTTCCAAGACTTAAGGAGTACTCTTGTGAAATTATATGTATTTATTTATCACTCATTCACTTTTGTGTTTTTCGTTTAAAGGGTAAGTGGTAATTTTCCTCTTTTTGGTGTTATGATTACAATTATTTGATTGGACCACATTATAAGAAATGATATACACTAAAATTTTTAATTCTTTTGATCTTCAAGCTTGAAATATGTAACAAATCGAGAACAATAATTAGTTGAAAAAGATGAGGCAGTGCATCCAAAGCATTGATAGTTGAATAAGGATCAAACCAGCAAAACCCTCTACATATTTGGTCGAAGTATTTCTACATCCAAATTTTCAAACTTCTTAATTATTAAAATATATAAATAAATAAATAGATAAAAAGTCCCTTTAGTTTAATCTTGATTGAAATAATCTATAATCTCACACTAATTCCATATTTGTTTTAAATTGAAGGTATTTTCCATGAATCCCTTATTTTATACAATTTCCAAAAGTGCTTTTAATGCTTATACGTAGTATATAGCCCAACCCTAAGGGATATGTATAACATTACCCATTTTATAATAAAGTACGAAATGCCCTTTGGGAGTGGAGGGAAGGACTAGAAGAAACCCCCCCTTGAACCTTTTAGTAGGTTTTGATCCTCCAACCTTGAATACTCGTTAATAATAAAAAGATAAGACAATATACATAAATGTACATAGTACAATGTACATAAAATTATATGGTGCAAGTTCAATCTTCTCATTAAATGCAAAAATAAATTTACAGAAATGATAATTAAGGGATTAATCGATTGAATAAAGGTGTGCTGTAATAAGTACCACCAAAAATGACAAACACCTGCTTAAAACAACAAATAATATTTTCAAGGCCCAACAATTACCAAAAAATAATGGGCTGAAACAACTGAGCTGGGCTAAACTTAGGACTAGCCCAGAAAAGAATCACTGGTTCGGAGTAGAAAAGTTGCTTTGCCCTATATAATCCATCTACTCAAGTGTATATTACTAGCTAACAAAGCAAAATTGGAGCATGAGATGAGGGAGTTCCAGAGGTCATTTTTATTTCCACCGTAGAGATTGCCTTATTCCGGTATATACAAGTCCTACAGACCGTCCAATCAAGCTAACGAGGAAGAAAGAGATGGCATTGCGAACCTGAGAAACTATTACTTTCACCATCGGCACTGCAATGTCAGACAACTCGAGTATGAGGCTGAAGTAGTACTTCCTGAAATCAAAAGATTTGTAGGAATATTAACGTCAGGAAAAAAAAAAAAAAAAAATCTCATGCAATCAGTAAAATAAAAGGAAAATTCAAGACTTCTAGTTATTTTGCCCCATAATAAAATGGTTTGCCACAAAGCTATAAGAAAATGTTACAAAGTTGAACAAACCACCCAAGATCCAACTGAGACAAGAACATATATCATAACTCGAAAACAAGTTTGAAATGTAACAAGTCCTTTCTAATTAACCCCCCCCCCCCACCCCAAAAAAAAAAAAAAAAAAAAAAAAAAACCAACTCCCAAAGGTACAAATCCTATGGCTGGCACAGTTGTAGATGTGCCTTCTCTAAACAGATGGCTCATACAGAAAGCAATGGAACGGCAACACGGCAATAAGGCAAAAGGTTGATACTTGATATTTAAGTTGCACAGTTCAAGACACCTCTGATTCAGCTAAGACCAAAAGAATCAGTGTTTCCCATGCACTTTTACTAGACATCAATCGTCAAAAAGCACATTACAGTCAAAAGCTTCTAGAATAAACTATTGCATATCCTTCATTCCTTCCAGGTATCATAGAGTTACATAATTCAAAGTTTTCTGTGAACCTTTGAAAGGTAATTTCATCTCAGTAGCTGTAAGCTTGTAATCTACTTATCTCCAGAAAGCGATTAAAGAATCAAAGCAACCTAAATCAAAGACCAAAGTCTAGTTTGCAATTCTTTATATGTGTGCATGCTAAGCCAATTCCATGACAGAGCAAGAGCACTTGGCACCAAAAAATTAGTTACTCACCACACTTTTCTAGTTTTCTGTATTACAAATCCACCACAAGCAAATTACAAAAAAGTACCAGTTTTTATCTTCATACTCCCTCAATATCTGACAGTCAACTTTGCACACATGCCAATGCACTAATTTCACTTTATTTTTATATGTTTAAATATTAATGAAAACTATTTTAAAAATTATACTTCCTCTATTTTTTTTTTGTTGTAACATCTTTTTTCTCACATTCTCTTGGGCAATTTTTGAAGAGGAGAAAGAGAGGAAAAAAAAAGAAGGAACACGTGTGGTTAGGAGAGACAGGTATAAATGTCAAAAATGAAAAATGTTGCAACTAATTAACAATTTCTTAAATATGAAAGTGTTGCAACTAAAAAGAAATGGAAGAAGTATTACAAAACTTTATATTAATACCTATCTAACAACATATTTTATGATAAAATACGTTTTTATTATGTTAGTTAAAAAAAAATAGTCAAAACTAATACATGAATAGTGAAAAAAGTCTAACATTCCAGACATTCTAGGACGAAGGGAATATAATTTTTGTTTGCACATCCAATAGCACTATTAGCCCTATACTCTTTACTTCAAAAAATAATTTCAGTAAAGTAAAAATAATTTTTAAGCAATAAAAATCAATAATAAAGACCAAATATAATAGAGAGTTAGTAAAAATAAGTTTTAATTAGTATAAAATTAATTTCAGTTCAGCAAAAATAATTTCAATTCAATAAAAATAATTTTATTTCGGCAAAAATAAGGTGAAGAGAATAGGGCCTTACTTTTGTTATTCCATAGTTTACATAGGCATTCATTAATAGGATGAATGGACAGAAGGCTAAACTTTCAAACTGGAGACTGATTACAAAGATACTGCCCTAACTTCAATATATGTGCTTGGTGCAACTTTTAAGCCATTTCATGCAATATTAAGAGTAACATAATTATAATTTCCACATATCTGGGAGATAAGAACTGGGGGGGAGGGGAACATACCATCCTTTGAGGGCCCTTAGTTCCCTTGTGCGCTTTAAAGTCAAAGAGAAGGTACTGACTACAGAATAGCGTAGTGAGGACTGCACATGTACAGATTTCTTCAGAGTAAGTCTCCTCCACCAACTATGACTTTCCTTGAGTGTCTCAGCCGACTCACGATAAGGTTCAGTCTTTAGTACCCGCAGGTCGAATCGATCCTCATACATTAATACAATTTCTCCAAAGTTCTGGTGAATCCACTCACGCATAGCTACCTTACACCATAAATCCAATTCAAAGAGTCAGAGGGCAGAACTGCTAAATTTATGGAGCAATTGATACATTGCTGCTGTTTTTCAACTTTTCTATTTACTTCCTATTCCAAGACAAATAGACAATGGAGGTCTTTCTAGAGACTGAAAGGAACAAAATGTTACTTTGACAGCCATACTAGCATCAATACTAAATATTTGAGGTACTTCACACAAATTGAGTCATAATTCATGAAAGGAGCTGGATAGAAGACAAAATCTACAAAGACAATCAATGAAGGGGAGCAGAAATTAAATACAAGGTTATGAAAAACACTACTTCTAATACTCACATCAGATTTTTAAGGAAAAAATAGAAGAAAGGTAATTTATAGCTTTCAATACTAGATCAGACTAATCACTTTATAGCTTTCAATACTAGATCAAGTTTGGTAAATCAATTTGTGGGAAGATTATATGAAAAGGATATTGAAAACAAAATACATCCTCTGTCCCTAAACCATTCTCATGTATACTCCCTGCCTCTCTCAAACCTTCATCCCATAATTAAGTAAATGCTCAAAGTTTTAAGGTGAGATGAAAAGGTTGTGAGTCAAAATGATTTTTTTTTTTTTTTTTTTTGGAGAAGGGGGGGGGGGGGGGGGGGGGGGGGGATGGATTGGGAGTTTGGGACTTCAAGAAATAATAAATTAATAAGAGTTAAGAACTTATGAAGTGGGATGTCTCAAAATTTAAGATGTGAACTTGTTATTACATGTTACCTACTTTGGTATTTAGAAAAACCACCCTATGTGTTTTGAGACCAAATAGGGACCAATATTCTCCTGAAACAACAACAATCCTATTTCTCTCAAAATTCCCAAACTATATCTTACTACTTTTTGTACACATTTTACCACTCTTTAGTCCACCCCCAACTAGTGTTCTCAATTTGCATCTAAGAGTGACAAAGCTTAACAAGAGGGAAATTATAAGATGGAGAAGGTAGTGTATTATGCCTCAGCTTCTTTATAACGATTACATTTCTACAATGCTACTCACTATGTTAACTTAGATCAACATTACATCACTGGTGGAACAAGAAGAAATAATCTGATTCAGTTTCAGGGGATTCTTAGTTTTACAAGTGATAGATTTAAAAACAGATTAAAGACAATTTTGGTCATAGGCAACAGTGAAAATACGTAGTAATAAGATATACGGAGTACTAATCATCCTTGAGTTGCCTGTTATCTTGCCTAAGCTGAAGACCTGAAATCCCAGGATATCAAAGTAAAACAAACACATATATGATTGATTATATACATATATTTCAATGTATAGATCTGGAACACAAGAATGTAAAACAGGTGGTCCTTTCTTTGATAAAGGCTGATCACCGAAATGAGTTGCTCCTAATTCTCCTCTTTTGAGACACAGATCATTCCAAGACTGTTAGCAGGGAAAAGGAAATGAAGGAACATGAAGTGGGGGATACCTCATTTCTTAATTTCTGCAAATCTCTGGTCGACAAAGTACACAAGGACAGCCCAAAGTTACTAATCTTTTCAGAAATGTCACTGTCTACAGATATAACCTCCAAATATATACTTGATATTGCATCAGCGAGAGTAATAATTAGATCTTCCAATATAGCACCTCCATGTAAGGGATAAAGATTATGATCATAGTAGCTACACTCCCTGCAACAAAAAAGGTAGATTCGTGTCAAGTGATAAAGCTTCAATTTGGGGGGTTATGAGCGTATCGCCATAAAGAAAAATCAACAAAGAGAAGAAGAGAAATGGTAAAAAGACCTGAACACTTATACATTTCTAAGTAAGTAAGATTCCTAAACTCTATAAATGTGAGTCACCAGAAGTTTTAGTATAGTTCTTTCAAAAAAAAAGAAGTTATAGTATAGTAAATGTTAGTTGACAGTCACTGGTGGGGTATTTTTCTTTATATCTTTTCATTTCCTTCAAATTAAAAATTCTTATTTATTGTAATATGTGAAATGACACCTGTAACCTCGCAGAATGGAATGTTGTTCCCATGACCCACTATAAACTATGAATGAAAAGAGGACCTCTAAGATAAATTCAATCAAAGCTCAAAATACTTAAGTAAAACCTTTTAGTATAAAATATTATCGTTGGAGCGTATTTCAGCCTTTCAGGTAGAGTACGTACATCATGAACAGCAATTTTACTTTTTCAATGCAAATTAGATCTTGAATATTGAGACTGCTTAACGAGAGGGACAATAAGTATATGGAAAACAAAACATAAAGACTGAAAAGACCAAGTTTCCATAATAGTTTAGAGCAACCTAAATATTAAGAAAGAGAACCCCATTCTCTTAAACAAGACAAGGCAAGAAAAAAACCACATACTCTTCACTGGAGTTGGATTGAAAGGACTCATTCAACCTGATGTGAAATGAGACTTGAACCACAATAAATAAACTATCACAAAGAGCAGTTAAAAGATGAGGCTGACATCAACAGAAGGCAGAAATTTCACTTCAATATTTAGTATGTGTCATCATATAAGAACATGGGAAAATAAAAGGTTGTAACAGCTTATCAGAATGAAGGAGCTCATTTTGACCAAAAAATTATGGGTAAAGGTGATTTAAAAGACTGAGAAAGGATATATCCAAATCCAATAACTAATTCTGTGTACAAATAAACCTGCAGCTGAAGCTTTTAAAAATCTAAGGCAACTGCTAGCATTCACAGAAGGATTACCACATTTAATCTTTAGTACATATAGGCTTACACTAAAGTGCATAAGGTTTTGAACTAATTGGAGGAAAGTGGCACAAAATACCTGTACTTGAATTGTTAAACACATATATTGAAAAGTGAAGAATTTTGTTAGACACAGAATAGAGGTATTAAGTTATGTCATAAGTCCAGTTCTTTTCAGCTGACACAATTCTTTAGTTACGTCCAATACAAAAAATCAACCATTGATATTTTAATTACCAATAAGAAAAAATTATAGAAAGTTGATATACTGAAATCATGTATCAAGACAAATCTTACAAGACCCCGCATGACTATACTTTTCATTATAAATAAATCACAAAAGATGGTCAAAGGGGAGTGTGTAATAATGCTAAAGTTGAAATGTATCAACAAAAAAGAAGCGGAATAAGTATAGGCCTTACTCTATATACCTAAGTTGAAATGTATCACAGACTTACACATATGCTTACAAGAAAACTTTTCAGACCAATATACCTAAGTTCAGGGTTTTTGTCAATTATTTTGTCTTTCGGAAACTATAGGCACTTAGGATGCTAGAAGCTGTTCTATGTGCTCGTTCAAACAGATGGAGAGACTAAGAATCCCATTCCAATTCTACGTGCTTGTTGAAATACATTCTCCCTTCATTTGATTCTAAGTATCCATGTCACCTGTTTTGAAACCCTCTTCCCTCCTCATATAATTTATTACCTTAACAGCGGAAATCAAAGATATGAACTTAAAAAGAACAGATGGGAATCTTTTTAACCCCAGAACCATCATCAGCACCAATTAAAACACACCTCAGTGACCTCACTATACGACCAACAAATCTGCAGCCCATGACCATCCTTCCCACCCCTAACAACACAGTCCAATAACCATCATGATCAAGGCCAATGTACAAAAAATGAATTATTGCAAGCAAGAAGGGAAGGCAGAAGCAAAGCAGTTAAAGAGAATGAGAGAAGGGCTGAAGGGGGTGGAGCCAAACCCAGTCTAGAAGCACTGGCATTGGGCATTGAGGGGTAATTTAGTAGCCAAATCAAGCCACATTTTGTGCATGGTTTTTCAGTAGAAAAAGAGAGATTGAGAAAGGGGAGGCTGAGGCAAAGTAATACAGAAGGCGAGAAAGATAAGATGTGGGTATAAATAAACATACTTCAGTAAGAATAACAACAATTGTAATCTTACTATTGTTTAAGTTACAACATTTAACTTACTAGTTACTAGAGAAGTAAATAGTAAAATCTGCAAAAGGTGCACATCATCTTCTATTTCCTTTTAGATAAATTTTGAGGGAGCAACATAATAGCCAAAATTGATGTCCATAACATTTTCCAGACTAGCATTTTTAGTAAAAAAATATATTCACCAAGAACCTATAATAGCAATACAAGATAAAAGCACTTCAAAAACTAGGCCATTATTGAAATTCAATTTCTTGGTCTGTATCTTCCATTATTGGAAACTTATAAAGTTCTTCCGTTAAACCCTGATAAATGAACCTCCAAAATCCTTCAAATTGTATCTGATTAAACCCAGGGATTGTAGACTTTCCCCCATTTCCGTCCCGTAGCATTTGCACGCAATTCCCCATTTGTTGAAAAATCCCATTTTTGGCTCATTCTTTGTTGAATCACCAACTTCTTCCGATTAACTATCCTTCTAGAGTCTCTAGTTGGTGACATTACAAGATAAACTTTGTCTACCTACCTTCTTCCAAATGCCAAACCACCAAAACCCAAGTTAAGTATGTACCCTTATAAAGTGGCAATGCTTACAATTAGCCTGCTGCTTTTTTAGCGCCCTTTCAAGCAGTATAAGAACATCAGCCAGTACCTAGTTTTTTCAATTTGCAAACTTTAAAAGTTTTACAGGTATATTCAAAGGACAGAAATATTTGGCCAGCTACATAAAATGTGGATCCCTAGGATGATCAATACACAAATGTTGACAGACTTGACACAGATGAAAAGGGTAAAGGGGAACTTCAACAATATCAGTGCTTTATAAAACTCAGTACTAACTTAGAAAACCCTCAAAAGGTACAGGAAGCAAGTCCATAAATCTCAAGCAAGAACAAGTAGTGAATCAACCATCCCAACCCTTCTAATAATCAGCACCCTGACGTCTAGGTTGTATTACCTCCATTCTAATAATTAGCACCCTGAGATCTAGGTTGTATTACCTCCATTGGTTATATAATAGCATCAATAATAAAACAATCTATCAACTAGTCTACTTTTTTCTTGCTTAAAATGACTTTTTCTATCGATTTCTAGCAATCTACAACTGAATGTCATATTTCTATGAAAATCAGTATTTTGAACATTATATACCTCAAAAGTCAAACAAAGAAATAGTGCATAATAAAAATAGTTTGTTGCAGAAAGATGATTCAGTTTAATTGATCAGAAACCAGATATGAAAAGAGTAAGGTAAAGTCCTTTTTCTCTTTTATTATAGAGAAAGAAAAATATATAGTGAGTGTACACTCCATTCTACAACATTAATCAATTTAGACAAATATAATCAGCTAGAGCACCCCAACAACCATAAACAAACTTACTTAAAGCAACCATATCTGAAAAAACCTATCAAATCTGCAAAAAGATCCATCTTGCTGGATTTTCTAAAATCTCCTAAGATGATATCTTCTCCTCTCAACTTCTCTGACATAGACAGCAAAAGCTCCTACACAAAAACAGAGCAAATAATAATGTTGATTATCTCAAATGTAACTACTTTGACATCATAAGCAATCTGTTCAAAAAATACCTTGTCAGGCTTGCAATTTTCTACGCTGAACTCCTTTTCCATCCAAGAAAACAAAGCTGATTGACAAGCCTTCTTTACTGTAGAGGAAAATAAACCCAGCCATTCCTCCCTTTCCATAGCCGTTGATGTGTCTGGAATTTCATTAACCTGTCCAGACAATGGAGAAACTTGAGCAAGAAAGAAGAAACAAAATCAACATGGTTAAAGGTTAACAAAGGAGATTAACTAGGCAAAATCAATTCACTATATGAAACAGTTATCACATGATATCTTTGTAAACATCCACTAATATATATATATATATATATATATAATATATATTTTTTTTATGTTTAGAGAGCCACAAAGGCAGGTGATGAGAATCGATCCCAAGATCTCTTGGAATCGGGAGGGAAGCTCAAACCACTTGAGCTATCCCCCCACTCTCACATTCCTCTACATTAGAACATCATGTTTCACGTTTCAAGTGTCCACTGTCTGATAATATATTTCACGACGGAAACTAAACTGAAAACAAGGAAACAAGCTGACAGCACATAAAGAACCTGTGCTCACCATTTTCTCAAGTTGCTCAACCAAAGACAAAAGCAACCTGAATCTGGGACCAATAGCAACGGCATACAAATTAAGAGGCCTCTTTGCACGATCTAATTCATATTCTTTTGTATTTTCTTCCACACTAACACCATTTTCAATAGCAAGAAGAGACTTTGTGATTTTCCCTTTCACTGCATCCCAGGAACAATGACAACCATGCTGATCTTCCTTTTCTGTTGTACTGCAAAATTTAAATATAAATAATTAGAAAAAGGAAGAGCAGAACTAGAACAAGAAAATTTAGCACATATCTTCATAAATTAAGACAGTGCAAACTGCAATTGTACAATAGAAGATGTATGCTAAAGATTATCAAACTTTAAGTACAGTAAGCTTACCTACCAAAAAAGATGGGACTTTCAGGGAGCAGCAGGTCATTTGACTTGTTCTTTTGGGATCTTATATAAGAGCCCCCAGAAGGAATGACTCCAGCCATATAAGCAAAGAATACACTAGCAGTCAGAAGCACTTGGTCAATGACGGGAACCCAGCTAGATACAGCAGCACTCTCAAAGTCTATCATAGTTCCCAAGCAGCTACACCTCATGGGACTTCCACTAGAAACAGGAGTTCTGAAAGTAACTGAAACAGACATAGTACTACGCTTGCTGACTCTCCATAAAGGAAGTGATGCAGACCTAAAATTTCTGCTGAGAAAAATATTAGAAGTTGTCAAAACCTCCATAGAGGTACTTTTGCGGACATATAATCTCTGCAGAGAAAAATATTAAAAGTTGTCACCCCACAAATTAAGTGAATTTGTAATTAACATGAAATGCGCAGATCAAATAAGTGCATAGTTGACATACTTCTACAGAATTACACCAGGTCATGCCTATGACAGTCTGTCCTTTAAACTTATACACGAAAACACTAACAACAAATTCCTAGTCCAAAGCAGAAGCCTCGTTAAAGAATGTTCTTTTTTGAGAACGAAACAGCAGAAGGCAGTAAAACATGCGTTGCAAATTGCTTCGATCAGTACAACAGAGGTGACTTCTAGAAAGTGTTAGTGACAACTTTGGAATGAAAGTCAGTAACATCTGGAATATGAAATTATGAAGAGTGAGCCTAAAAGGGGTTGTCATTAACATAAGAAAAATGAAGCTTCAAAACAAAGAATATGAAAATTGTAACTAACAAATTTCTCAAGATGCTAAGTGCCAAAGGTGTTCAACCCCAAGAAACCATCATAATATTCCAATCAACACATCCAAATGTCCCTAACATCATTGCTGAAGCTAAACCTCATACTTTCAATAGGCATTTTTGGGAGCTACATATCCATAAACAGGCAATATTAGAACAATATTAATGGGCATGATTCCACAAAGTTATATTATACACCCATTGCAAATGCTTGCACATCATAAACAGGCATCATTTTGTCAAATGATGAAGTGCAATGAACCCACATTATATCATTTACTTCGATTCGACAAAATAACAACACTACACTCTAGCAACCACAGAATAACAACAAAATAAACAATTTTATTATACCAACATGAAAATTAAAACGAAATTGGGAGGAAGAACAATCACCTTGGGAAATTTTTGGGGTATGAATTCTGGGGTTTGAACCAAGACCCTTTTGTTTGCAATTGCAGCTTAAAATTCGATGGCACAGTCCCACATTCCGCCATTTTTCTACAGTTTCAATCCACCCAAATGCTCAATACATTTTATTCTCCCAATCAAATACGAAAATACAACTTTGCTTATGCTTGAATCTACTGAAAATTAATGATAAACAAACAAAAATCAAAATCTAAAAAGGCAACATATTTACTAATTTTCAAAGAAATGGCATAAATTCAAAAAAAAAAAAAGGGTAATTGAAGTGGGATTTAGGGATTTGAGGGTGAGAAAATGGGAAATTAGATGATACCTGGAAGTTAATTTTCAATAATTCATAGTGTTAGAAGGGGAGAAGAAGGAAGGAAGGAATGGGCTGAGTTTTTGACTTGTTTTGCAAAGATGAAGAATGGAAGAGTGAGTGGACCATGATATCTACAATCCTTGGAGGTAAATCATTAGTCCTCTTGGGCCCTCTTGGGTTTTTGGCTTGGCAAGTCGAAAATGGAGTTTGGTGATTACTCTCTCTGTTTTTTATTGGCTATTTACATACAGACTTGTCAATTCAAATTAATGGGTTGAGTTCGGGTTAAATTTTGAGTTGTTTATGATGGGTCGGGTTTATATTCTCTCTCAGTAAAATGGGTTAAGAGATAGGGTCGAGTCGGGTCATGAACTAACAGGTCTAGTTACATATATTTTGACTTCATGTATACATTAATATATGATCAAAATTGGCCAAATGGCAAATGTGCCTTAAAAAAAAAAGGAAAAATTGACATTTTCTACCCGCGAAAACACCTCGTGTCACATTTGCTACCTGTTTAAAAAAATATTTTAAATTACTACCACACAAATTCCCTAACTGTATATATTGCTACCACTTAACGGAATCTGTTAAGGTTTCGTTAAGTGGGCCTCATATTTCATTAAATAATAATTTAAATTATTAAAAAAAATCTTTTAAAAAAAATCTCAAACACCCCATCTCCCCTGTCCCGGCGTCAGCCACCCTCCCCCCTCCCCTTGTTGGCGCCCAAATTTTTCCCCGATGCCGGCGAACCCCACCTCCTCCATTTCCCCTCCTGCCAACCACCCCTAACCTCGTGGTCTCCTGCTGCTAAACCGCCACCTTCGCCGCAAAATTCCACCAAATGTTCATCGGCGGCGCCCCGACTTTTCCCCCCACCCCTACGCAGCCAACGAACCCCCTTCCCCTTCTTGTTGCCCCGACCACCAGCCTCAAACCACCAGCCAATCGAAACCCTAAAATTCGAAATCGAAATCGAATTCGAAATCCTAAACCACCAGCCCCAAACCGCCGAAATCGAAATCGAAACTCTCGTTTAGGGTGGTTTGAGGCTGGTGGTTTAGGATAAGTGATGGACGAAAGGGTAAGGGAAAGGGAGGGGGTCGATTTCGGTGGGGGAATAGGGAGGGGGGCGATTTCCGGTGGGGGAAAGGGAAAGGGGGTGGTTTCTGGTTCGGGGTGGGGGGAATGGCAGCAAGAACGGGAAAATGGAGGGGGGTTGGCTGCGTAGGTAGGGGAAAGGGAGGGGTGGGGTCGCGCCGGCAAGGGGGTGGGGGTGGGGTTGCGTCGGCGCCGACAGGGGGGAGGGGGTGGTAGTTGAGGGGACGGGTGACAGTGAAGTGGAGGGGTGGCTGCAAGGTGGTTGAATGGTGGCTAACGGAAAAAGTAACGGCCTTAGTCTTTGGTAGTGAAATATATATTTTAGGAATTTGTGTGGTAGCAAAATAAAATTTTATTTTAAACGGGTAGCAAATGTCATACGGGGTGTTTTCACTGGTAGCAAATGTCAATTTTTCCAAAAAAAAAATCCAACCCTATTTGAATAAGTTTTGTTTTCCTAGGGGATATAAAAGAAAACAAGAGATTTGAGATTGAATTTGTTGCGTTTTTAATCTACATCAAAATATGTGGTGTAAAATGCAGTATAAAAGTACTTAAATTTCTAAGGTTGTAAAGAATTTTTTTTTTTTTTTTAATTTGTTTTGTGGTAGTAATCTTTAGGTCATTAAAACCCATTTTTCAAATTTGTTTATCAAATTTTATTTGCATTTTATGAAGTATATAGAACAATGAATTAACTTCGAACATAAACCATTTAGTTCATCGTCTGTTTTTTAAAAGGCTTTTGTCGATTACATTGTATGGCAATTACAAACTCATACCGATATACGGAGTATGAATATTTCTATACATAACTTTTTTCTTACCCTTCCTAAAGAGCTAATTTAGGTTATTGAGACTCTCCCTTACCAAGAATATTAAATCTAAATTATGATGGGTCTGTTGTTAAGAATTATGCCGTAACAATTATGATAGTTTGTGATCGTAATGGTGTCATATGGTGTCTTTTATCCATTAAATCATAATTTAGCCTCTTTTCAATCGAAGTTACTACTCCCTCCGTTTTTAAATACTTGCTCCACTTTCCTTTTTGGGCCGTTTTTAAATACTTGCTCCATTTCCTTATTTGAAAAACTTTTACAATATTTAACTAATTTCTTTCACCTAGTGGACCCACCACTTATTCACTCTCCTCCAATCCTCTCCACTACTTTTGTTTTTTACAATTTATTATTTTTCCACCTACCCCACAACCTCCATATATTATTATTTTATCTAATTTCTCCTAAAACTCCTCGTATGGAGTAATGAAGCAAGTATTTAAAAACGAAGGGAGTATCTTACACACCTAATTGTATTCGTCTATCTTTCTACGAGGAAAAAAAAAAGTCAATAAAATGGACCCTTAAAGCCCAATGTTGAATTCAGGTTCAATCCAATAGAATTAGACCCGAATTTTGACAAATCGGCCATTTCTCACCAAAATCTCCCCTACTTGTGAATCCATAAACCCTAACCCCTCACCCTTCTCTCTCTGTCTTTCTCACAAAGAACGACCGCCATTCTTCCCCTTCATATAACTATTTTTCTCTCTTCAATTTTTTCTCAAAACCAAAAATGGTGAAGAAAAGTAAAAGTAAGCTTAACCCACTAACCATAAACCCCTTAATTTTTTCTGGGTTGTTAATAAAGATTCTTAATTTTTCTGGGTTGTTGATAAAAATTCTAACTTTGATTTTATTTGATTTAATTTTTATTGCAGAGAGTAAGAGTAACAGGGTTTCATTGAAGAAGAAGTATAAGATTATAAAGAAAGTGAAAGAGCATCACAAGAAGAAAGCTAAGGAAGCAAAAAAACTTGGAATTAATAAGAAGAGTAAGATTGAAAAGGATCCTGGTATTCCTAATGATTGGCCTTTTAAGGAGCAGGAGCTTAAATCTCTCGAGATTAAACGTGCTAAGGTTGTTGAAGAAAAGGAGCAGCAGAAGGCTGCCCGTAAAGAAAGGGTATGTCATTTTAATTTATATTTATGACAATAATTTTTAAGGTTTTCATTGTAATTATACTGTACTTATTTTTATGTAATGTAATGTCATTGTGATGTTACTCTCGACTCTTCAATTCACCTCAAGTACCCGTGTTGGATACGCGACAATTGGACATGGTTATGACATTTAGACATTTAAATTAAATTTAAGAAACGAAGTTATGCAAAAAGGGTGGTGTTTAGATTCTATAAGTATGCCATGAGCTTAGTAAACATTTTATATAAATTCAGATTTTAAAATAGTAGGGAAATTTTGGAGAATTTGTTTGGAACTATGGATGTGATTGGAGAATGGAGACTTATTTCTTACATCTTAGTAGTACAGATTTAAATTAATTGATGATGATACTGGAGCAATTGACTTTTTTTTCATTAATGGATGGAAATTATGGTTTGGTATTGGAATATTCCATGGATTATATTGTGACACCAAGTGCCATAAGTAATCAAAATTTGAATTAAGATGTATGCTTTGTATGGAGTAAGGGTTTGGAGTACAATCATCGAGTAGATATGGTGTAATTTAGTTGATTAGCTTAGCTACTTTGGAATATTTTTTGGGGTTCTTGATAGTGTTGATCTTCTTAAAAGTTATTGTTGCTGACTGTGGAGCTATAATGTTGGAGTAGTTATTTAATATCTAAGGTGAAGGGGAGGAGAAAGAAGATGCGCTTTTGAAGAAAGTATACAAGTAAATGGTTTGCAATATAATCCTGATATGTTATTAACAATGCTTAAACACAGGCTAAAACACTAACAGAGTATGAACTATGTAGTGTTATTTAATATGCGCATAGCAGCTTGATTAGACCCAAAGTTCTTGGGGGAGTCATTTCCCCTGCCAACATCACCTCCCATCAGTTCGTGTTTGCGTCTTTGTATTTGGAGCTTTGGAGGATTGGATGGTGAGAATGGGAGGGGGTCATTGCACATCATTTGGCTTGATATTTGCTATTGATACCTTACGTTCTGATGTTGTTGGTTGACCTAAATCTATTGATTTAGGCAGGTCTAATTCCTATAGTACGCTAGCAGAACTTTTGACTCACCCCTTTTCAAAGGATGTGTTGTATAGAGTACGTTGTTGGTTGATTAGTCTTTATAGAAAATGTTTAAAATTTAGCATGATTACTCTTTTAGTGAAAAGTGGGAGGTATGATGTATCTATAGGCTGTCTAAAATTTAAGTGCGGTTGTTCTATTAGTGAAAACTGGGAGGTATCATGTATATGTAAGCTGATATCTTCTCATGCTTCCATTTTGTTTATAGGCTCAGAAAAGAAAGTTAGGATTACTTGAGGACAACACTGAGGAGCAACCTGCTGAGGAGGTTAAAGAAGCAGATCCAGCAAAAGAATTCATTAAAAACCAAGGTATGTGAGGTTTGCAAAACAATAGAGTTTTCTACAACTTAAATTACAGATATTTACTTACCTGCACATGATTTTCGTTGTAGTAGTGAACTAATGATTTTGAGATTTCATGCAGATAATTCTGACAGGGCGTTTTACAAGGAGCTAGTCAAGGTTATTGAGGCATCTGATGTTATTTTGGAAGTTCTTGATGCCCGTGATCCCCTTGGTACTAGATGTGTAGATATGGAGAAATTGGTTCTTAACTCGGGTCCCAGTAAGAAGCTTGTTTTGCTGTTGAATAAAATTGGTATGTCTTCCTTTTATCTGTTTGATGTTTTGTTCTAAGACTAGTTGTCCATTATGAAGTCTAAGTCTGCTGCCTTCATGCTAGTCAGATGCTATGAAAACTTTATGCATGTTCAAATTATATCTTCAAGGCAGATAGTCACTGTTTTGGGGGTTGTGGTGGTGGTTGGTAGATGAGCATAAATTTGAACTAAGCTTAGTGCCGATATTATGAATATCATTTTGATTTATTCATTCTTTCACTTGCCTCTGAGATCGAGGGATTGTTTTTGTCCCTAGCCTAGTAACTCATGTTTTGGTAATGGATCACACCATGTTGGTGTCGTTTTATAACAATTTATTATGTGCCTGCTTTTTGATAGATTTTTGCCCTTGTTTTCCCTCAAGTTTAAGCTATTCCATATTGAAGAAAAATATGGTTTGTTTATGGTACTCATCTGCTGTATTCTAAATTGTTGCCTATATATCAGATCTTGTACCTCGTGAAGCAGTTGAAAAATGGCTAAAATATCTTAGAGAAGAACTACCAGCAGTGGCCTTTAAGTGCAGTACCCAAGAGCAAAGATCAAACTTGGGGTGGAAGTCCTCAAAGGCTGCCAAACCTAGCAACATTTTGCAGACCAGTGACTGTCTTGGAGCAGACACTCTAATTAAGCTGCTTAAAAATTACTCAAGGAGTCACGAGGTAAGAGTTTAAAAGTCCGTGAAACTTTTCAGACTTCCATCCATCAACGTATATCAGTTGATGTTACCTATATTACTGTGATTGTTAACAAGTCATCTTATCATTTAATCACTCATTCTCTGTTGATTTGGGGACTTTACAGATAAAAAAGTCAATAACTGTTGGCATTGTGGGGCTACCCAATGTTGGAAAGAGTAGTCTCATCAATAGTTTGAAGAGAAGCCATGTCGCTAATGTTGGTGCAACTCCTGGATTAACAAGGTCTCTGCAAGAAGTTCAGTTGGACAAGAATGTCAAGTTGATGGACTGTCCTGGAGTTGTTATGCTTAAATCTGGGCAGAGTGATGCAACTGTAGCCCTTAGAAATTGCAAACGAATTGAAAAGCTTGAAGATCCTATTGCACCAGGTTACTATTTCCTACCTTCAATCTTCACTTGGTGGTTGTTGTAATTGGTGCATTGTTCATGATCTAACGAGTAGGTTATTTACTGATAGTCTGAAATTCTAAATTTTCTTACAGTCTCTTTTGATGCCGGTTACATATAGCAGTAGTAAAAATGAATTTAAGTGTAATTTAACGAGCAAAGTAAAATCCTATAGTCCATACTCCATAGTAACACAATCTCCCAAATTGATACTCTTTTTTATAATTGTCCGTTAACACCTAATACCACTTCCCAAATGGTTTTGAATGGTAATGAATATTTGTAAGAAACATAAATAATATGGGTTAAACTAGCATTACCTTGGGAATGGACGTCAATTTTCTTACGAATTTATATGAAAGTCAATCCCATTACCACATATTATCAACACTTAGCAAATGGGCCAATTTATGAAACCAAACAACAAGACTATCCCAGTCAATCTTGGATTCACAGAGAAGAATTTTCCAATTCTTGTTTTGATTGATCCACATCTTATTCTCTAATTTGCTTTGTTGATGAAGTTACTAAGACATTGCAACATATCCTAGAAGCTTTTGGAAAAAGAGAACAAGAGAATAGGTTATGTTTGGGTGTTGAGTGCATACTTCATTAATTGCTATAATATTGGATATTCAGTTGTTTTTTAACTCTTGTTTGTTTCTTCTTTACTGAAGACAACACTCTTTGTTACAATTGTTTTTCCGAAAAAAAAAAATCCATTACAGGTTAATTTTTGTATCTTGAATTCTATATAAATTGTGTGTACAATCTACCTCTATGCAGTGAAGGAAATCCTAAATCTTTGCCCTGCCCAAGTGCTAGTCACATTATACAAGGTCCCTAGCTTCGATACAGTTGATGACTTTCTGTTCAAGGTGGCCACTGTCAGGGGAAGACTTAAGAAAGGTGGTATTGTAGATATTGATGCAGCTGCAAGGATTGTTTTGTATGATTGGAATGAAGGTATGCTCAAGTTATAAAAGATCTTGTGTTCTCTGGTTCTCTCAGTACTCTGTGAAGACATGTAAGGACCTGTTTTGTGAATATATTTGTCCATTTTCTTCTTTTCAGGTAAAATTCCTTATTATACAATGCCTCCAACGAGGAATCAAGGAGAAGTACCCGATTCCGAAACTAGGATTGTTACCGAACTTGGTAAGGAGTTCAATATAGATGAGGTCTATGGAACTGAAACTTCTTTCATTGGAAGCTTGAAATCGGTTGATGATTTCCAAACTGTTGAGGTTCCACCAAATTGCCCATTGAACTTTGATCAACAGATGATTGAGGTTAGCTCTTTTCCCATTCAGTTTTTTCTATCCATTCATTTTATTTGTTAGTACTTTTTTTTTCCCTAAGCTTGGGGAAAAAATGGTAGTTAGTTGGAAAATACATCGTATGTAACTACATCCCTCATTTTCACCAAACAGGAAGATCAACAGCCGTCAACACAAAACAAAGTAGCCATTGATTTAAATGTAAATGGCGAGGATGAAGTTATGGAAGCTGAAGATGAGGAAACAGGAAAGACCAAGGTAAAAAGCTCAGCAAGCAAGCAAAACGAGAAGCTTTATGATGAAGAAGGAATGCTCAACACAAAAAAAGAAGCGAGCAGAAAAGAAAAAAAGAAAGAAGGTCAGCAAGCAAGTTGCATCAGAGGATGCTATGGACGGTGATTACGATTTCACAGTGGATTTCAAGCAAGGAGGATCGTCCATGAAAGTTGATGAAGATGAAGATGAGGATGAAATCAAAGCCGAGGTGCCAATGGCTGGCATAGAGTTTGACGATGAGTGATAATACGTCAATTGATCTCTTTGATTCATTGTCTCACCATAAATTTTTGGTAGTATTTTACATTTTTTCAGAGGAAATTGTTGTAGAAGAATGCAAAATATTCAAAGTTGATATGCATAGTGAAAGTTTGTTCCTTAAAAGTTTGCTTCATTGATATTACTTTCCGCATTCAGCACTTCAGCAGTCAAACACCTTGCAGCCACCTTGCTTTTCCAAGTAGAATGAAAATCTTTTTGAAAAAGCTTTGAAGGGTCAGTGTTTACTGCCGACTGCCGAGTTAGTAGGGTAATTAGGTTGGACAGTTTTTGGCAGCAGAAAGACGAACGAAAAACTAGGCCTCTCTCCTAACCGTAGTGGCTAGGGAGTGGGTTCTAGCCGTGACACGACTAACACATTGACACTAGAAAAATAAAGACAAGAACACTAGTCGCTAAAGACATTTTTCTAACATGATAGACTTGATCCGATGGGGTTGGAGTATTAATTTTCCTCGACTATCCTGCATGAAGAGTCCCTTTTCGGCTTGACGGGTTTCTTGATCATTATCTCTTGGATGCATTGTAATTGCCTTTCTCTTCTTCATTCCAACTAACCATTTTGTTTGTTCTCTCGCATATTTTAGATTTAGGGCCTGTTTTAATTTAGTGAACTGAAATGATTGAATTCAACTGAATATTTTATGTGAGAAGGAAATTGGAAACTGAATTGAACTGATTGAATATGAACTAAACTGAACTGAAAATAAGTTGAAGAGAACATACCCTTAATATTTTAGATTTAGGTTAGATGGTACATCTTTTAATATGGCCCTACGAACTTCTAAATCAGGGTTAAATTAAGAGTTTGTAATTCATGTAGGCACAAAGTACATTAGTTTTTTAAGAAGAAAGAGGAATGAGGACACCTTCAAGTGAAGAAAGCTGGCATATTATAATGATTTATGAATTCATAATAAATGGTAATTTTTGGCTTAAACTTCAATTTAAAAGAATCATCTAATCTTACGCATTGGTACTGACAATTAGGCGTGACATGATTGATAGGCACACTAACATACTTTTTTAATTGTTTATTACAACTTGTTTTCGCTCTAAATTCAAAGAATGTTGCTTTGAAAAATCTTAAAAAGATACTCTCATGCTTAAACTTGTATTAACAGGAATCAGTTTTCTAGCTATCTTAGACTGCTGATGCCCCATAGGCTTATACCCTACTCTAATACTCTCCAAATTACCATCGCTATTATAGACATATGCACCTCACACGTCGCATATAGATGGACAAATGGTGCACGCTAATACAAGCAATCAACTATATAGAGTATAGACATCGTCTCACATTGACATACCGTACTCAAATTAGGTTTCCTTCACAAGCAAGGATATTAACTTATTAAGGGCAAATGATATTAAAAACGAATATGAGTAACAAGATATTCAAAATTTAATAAAAAAATATAAATAATAAATTTTGTAAAGAAGAACAGACATCTCAAATAAATAAATAAATTTATGTCGTTAAATTATTTTATGTACAAATATTATTAGAAACGTATGAAGTATAATCTTATATACAACGGATATATTTTATACGACTACATGTTCACAAAAGTTCGAAATCGAGACGAGGGCATGTGGGGCGTGGGGTGTCAATTTGTCATGTCACCATAATAATTTGATTATTTGTTGGCAATCTTGGCAATAAAACAGAAACTTTTGAATTTCATACACTTGTGAAAAACCCCACGAAGCTTCTTATAGTAACAATTGCATGCCAAATTGCCAGCCGAACAATAAGTTCCTAACCTTTGAAGAAATTGAACAAATACAAGGTTTTTCATTCTCTCTCCTCTGTAATCTTTCTAAGATTTTCTGGGTTTCTTATTATTTTAAATATTTTTTGCTTAACTGGGTATTATTGCTATTGTGTTTGTGAATTGGAAGATGTGTTTGTTAATTGGAGAAATATTCGTTATTACATTTTGAATGTTTGTGTTTTTGCATCCAAATTGTTTGATGAATGTCTAGAATAAGATTGAATTTCATTGTTAGATGAGTATATTTAGTGCATGAATTGTTAAAGTTGAAGGGTTGATGAATTTATATATGCTTGTTAATTGTTGGGAATTGATAACATGAAGCTATGTTTTAACACTACATTTCTATAAAAAGTGCTAATTTTGCTCCATTTTTGGGTAAAATTTGAAGTATTTTGATGATGATAACATGATTACATGAAGCTATGTTTGAAGTTTATGGATATCTTTTGAATTGATTATGTTGTTGGATTCAAGATTTGTCAAGTAAGAATCCTTCTTAGGAACCATTTATATCGAAACTCGAAGAAATATAGTTGTGCAACTAATCTAGCTTAGTTACAGGGTCTTGTAATTTGGAAATGAAGGGTTTGGTTTGAAGTGGTCTTAAATGCATATTCTATATTGTAAAGTGAATTATGTCTTTATCAAATGACTGATGTTTGCTTTGAAATGATGTGGGGAATGCTCTTCTTGGAAGAACTTGTACAATCTTGGAAGAAATTAGTTAAACAGATTAAGATATGTATTACTTACAAACAACCTAAGTTCTATTAAGTCTAATCATCATTAATTTGTAAGGAAAGGGTCATGGCAACTTAAGGTAGAATTGCGATGTTTTACTATTAGAATACAAGCAAGAGCGCAAAAAGGCGCTCTTTAACTTTGTAAGAGGGTTGAATCAACTACCCTTTTTTGGTTTATAACTATATATGTAGGCTAACTTATGTAATGTTATGTGGACTTCTTGAGACATGGGGAAATGTTTGTCATATTGGTTGCCAAGTCATTGGCATATTCACAAGTAGCTAGAATGGCCTGGGCTACTCTACTGCAGTAGTTTCACTTGAGGCTCAAACTTAATGCTCTATGTACTTGTATAAAATTTTGTAACTTGTAACACTAAGTAATACTAATGACATCGAATGTGGTAGTTAAAGTGTGCTTCGTGTGAGGCAAAATGAGTGCTTAAAGAGTTAAAGTATCATGTATTGGAGAATGATGATAGTGCTTTCTTATATTTGTAAGTAATCGGGGAATGTATCTATATGAAAGCTAAGGTGATCTTCCATGAGAAGCCTATCTTTCTGTACTTGAAAGATTTTATCTGCTATGCTAGATCGATATCCATCTGTTTCTCCAAAGATTTTTAAACACCAACATACACTGACTAAATACAGAATAACATTGTCTTTGATATTTCTTGATAGAAGTTTCTTCTTTATCCTCAATTCTTCAGGATGCAAGTTCTCTCTATTTTCTTTGACTCTGGTCTGTTTCTGATAATGTAGATATCAATCGTGTAGTTGATTTGAGCACCAAATTTTCAACTCCTAAACACATAAGAGATAAACATCATGTTCAAATTCCCAGAGCATCAGATTGCAGGCCACCTGGCCCTTGGGGGAAAATTAGGCCCGCAGATAGACGAATCAGGGCGCTTTTGCAAGCCTCTCCAGGAGGATGAACGAGGCTCTAGAGAGGTTGCTTTCTATGAAGCACTCTATTCTACCTCAAAAGTCAAGAAGCAAATTCTTCGCTTCTTCCCTGTATTTTACGGTACACATATTATTGAGGCATCTGATGGATCAGGACTGCATCCTCACCTTGTTTTGCAAGATGTTGTCTCGGATTACATAAAACCGTGCATCATGGACATCAAAATCGGATCCAGAACATGGTATCCTCAAGCATCAGAGGATTATGTTGCGAAGTGCCTCCGTAAAGATAGAGGAACCACCAGCCTTTCTTTGGGTTTCAGGATATCTGGCCTGCAAATATACCAAGGTAAAAAATCTGGTTATTGGAAGCCTGACAGGAAGCAAATTCAGAAGTTTACAGCAGATGATGTCAGATCAGTTTTGAGGAAGTTTGTGTCTTCAAATCAATTAGGTGATTCAGATCACAAACCTGATTCAACACCAGCATGTTATATGTATGGTGGTTTCTCTGGAATTTATCAACAATTGCTGGAACTAAAATCATGGTTTGAGGAACAAACAGATTTTCACTTTAACTCTTGCTCGATCCTCTTAATTTACGATGGTGAATCAGAAAAGAACGGTGGAAATCCTCAGTCTACGATTAAGCTTATTGATTTTGCACACGTGTTTGACGGCAACAATGTTATTGACCATAACTTCTTGGGTGGTCTTTCCTCATTAATCAAATTCATTTCAGATGCATCTGCCACACAGCTCAGCAAACCCAAATGGTTGGATGCTCCGGCTGCTTAATGATGTACAACTTTCTCATGCTTTTTCGACTGTCAAAACTGTGGTTCCGATTTTAGTTCTGAACTATCAGTTTGATGCAATAGTTGCTACTTTTTTGAAAGTTTCAGCTTTGGCTTGCTATGGAGGAAATGTTGTTCTTGGTAATTTGCACCTTGTTTAATCAACTAGCTGATCACGAAGCCTCGCTCGCATTGGCTACTAATCCTTTTATTTGATCAGAATAGTGTGTGAAGGTGTGATTCTCTTGGAAAAACAAGTAGGTTTTAAGGATGTCAGTAGCTGATCAAAGCAGGTTATATTGAGGGGTGTCTTATGTACTGAACTTGATTTATAGAGTTAGCAAAATCAAAACATAATTGAGCATTTTGTTTGACATCATAGGTTTAAGTTGATAAAAATAGATGGTCCAACTAGAAGATTTGTGTGCAAGTTGTCGTAGATATTCCTTTATGGGCGGGGGTAAACCCATTGCTTGGAATCCGGGCCTGACGCGGATCCTATATAGCACTGTCACTCAATTGCACTTATCAAGTCTTTAATTGTTCCATCAATTTAATGCTCCCACTCAAGTCACAAGCTTGCGTTACTAAGCTCAGCAATTAGTATTAGCCTTTTAATGGTATATAAATTAGTACAAAATGGTGTAATTTAATGATATGGGAACCCTTTATTTTGGAAATTCAGGAAGAAATTTATCATTATTGAATTTTGTTTCATTATTGGAACTCTTAAGATTGTATCCTATAAAGCTCATGTGGGTTTTTTTTTTTCTCCGTTTGGTACCGTTGTGGTTTTCTGTTTTTTGGTTTTTTTTTTTTTTTTTTTTTTTTTTTTTCCAAAATCATATGATACATGTCATATAATGAATAATTAAAATTACAATAATTTTGAAAACAAACAACAGATGAAAAGTGAAAACATCTTATTCTTGTTTCATGTTTTTAGTTTTTTGATTAAAAACAAAAAAAAACAATGTCAAACAAACACAAATATTTATATACATTTTTTTTGTTCAGAAATCAATAGCTACTAGCTAGTGGCGTAATAAAATTCATTTTTCTTTCTCAAAAGGTATACAAGGGACGAAAAATAATGTGTATTATTCAGAATATTCACAATGTTTGATTCATCAACTACCTTGATATTAATCTTTATAATATTCTAGTTCTAATAAATTGTTATGACCTTATTTTGATAGTAAAATTTATGAAAAATTGATGTAATCATAATGTTGGAATATATATATTTTTATCAATGAATTTTTTTAGTAACAGCTAATGTTAGACCTTAAAAGGAAGAAACAACACTCATAATCTCATACTACGACACCGTACTATGTGTCTATCACTATCGTATTTGTAAACATGATTACAGAACTCCAAACTTTTTCAACGAGTCTTTAAAAACGATCAAATTGATTGTAATAGAGTTATCAAACTATAATACATTAGTAATTTGGTGATGTTATGAAAAAAATTCAAAAGAAAACCCTAAAAACCTAGGGATTGTTGAGGACAGGGCGGACCCACCTTTAGTCATAGTGGGTCCGGTGACACAGTATTTTTTCTAAAAATAAAATATCAAAGAGACCCCTTATTATAGATAGGGGGTCTCTTTGATGCTGCTAACATCAAAGAGACCTCTTATTAAGGTAGGCGATCTCTTTAATGCTGCTATTGCTACTTAAATATTAAAGAGACCTGTTATTTATATAAGAGGTCTCTTTGATGCTGCTATTGCATTTCGCAATTTTTTTGCGCTACTTTCTTTTTCATTAAAGAGACCAGTTATATTTAATAACTGGTCTCTTAAGTTATCTCACTTTTTTGTTGTATAATTTTTTAATAATTTTTTTTCCCTTTTTATATCTTATATTTGTACAACCGATTTTAATATTTCCCCATAAAGCTTATCAATTAATTAAAAAATCATAAAGTTAATTCAATATAATAATTTTATTGTACCATTTGTTTATAACATGTTATTTGTAATATTTTCGACTTGTAAAATTGAATTCTTAAGTACTGTATTTGGTTGTGGTATGTATTTTTGTGTCCTATTTTTGGATTGAAATCAATTTGGTGAAATATGGAAAAAAAAAAATTGTACTTTCACAAATGATCAATAATTGATGGTGACACACTATCTCGGAAATCTTGGATCCGCCACTGGTTGAGGAGAGCCTGTTCTATATGAGCAAAAATTAATGAGCCACCCGAGTAAATATAATAAATTCTAATTGTTGAGAAAAATAGAAAGTCCAATTAAGAAGATAATTGTGGAAATTGGAGTTTTCATTTTAGGAGGATACCCGTTGTTACTTGGAACCCTTACCCAACTCTTGGGAAGGAAAACCATAGCAAACTTGGGCCTGCTGCTCTCACAAAGCCAACAGTTGAGAAACCACACCTTTCTACCCCAACTACACCACTTTCTCAATTCTTTATTGCTCCCACTCGACTCACAAGCCCACGTTACTGAGCACAGCAATTATAATTACCCTTTTCATGGTATTATTAATTGCTACAAATTCGTGTAATTTAATGGTATGGGAAACCTTTATTTTGAAGATTATATAGGGAGTTTTCTTCTACTCATCATAAAATAACGATCATTTACATTAAAATCATCTCATTCCGATCCAAGTAATGCTGCTATGTGGCGAACCAACCATGCTATTCAAGATTTCCATAGCCGGACCGGATCAGTCAGAATTGTAATACTTAATCCGTATTTTATTACTTGTTTCATAACTTCATGTACGGATCATTCTCTGAAAAAATGCTACTATGTGGTGAACCATGCTATTCAATTATTCAAAATTTACATAGCCATAAGGACCAAATCAATCGGTATGTATAACTTAATCTGTATTTTATTACTTGTTTCATAATTTCATGCACAGAGTAATCTCTGAAAATACTACTATGTGGCGAACCATGCTATTCAAAATTTAAAGTCTTACAGACTAGATCAATCAGTATAGTATTACTTATTACTTGTTTCATAACTTCATGTGCAGAGTTTTAATAGTGAAATGTAATAAAAAAATTAAAAAAATTGTTGTAGTGTAAAAGAAATTAAAAAATGATGGTCCAATTGGAATATCAGCCAAGTGGGTTTACTAATGGGCAAAGGAGGCGCAAGCCCGTAATCCTTCCACTGACGAGAGCGGGAGGTTTTCGTTGCTCTGTGAAACCAGCCTCACGCAGTCCCCTCCACTTTAGGGCCCATGAAGATTGGGCTTTCGCCTAACCAACATGGGCCAACTCTTAACTTGGATAGGGCGGGCCAGCATACTGCCCAACCTTAACCCGACCCAATTAGCCGAAATCCTGTTCCATTATCTTAATGCTCCCACTTGGGTTACAAGTCCTCGTTAACGAACTCAGCGATAAATTGTTGCCATCTTTGGATATTTAAAATATGAAAATAGTTTGTGAACTTTCGATGTGGGACTTAACATCTCTTTTGGCTTATGTTAAATTTCTTTCACAAACGTCTTATTTAAAATCGATTGTTCATCTACAAACAATAATGTAAATCAATGTTGGAATTGCATATTGACAAATGAAAAGTTAAACTCATATGTTGCAACTAATGAATGAGCTTAGTTTAATCTCTTCAAGTCGTTAGAATTTTTTTTTGAAAGGATATGGGTATCTACTTATCTTATTTCAAGATACAATTTAACTATAAATTTATTTAAATCTGTATATTTCATATAAATCTTCTATTTCATATGTCGCAAACATCATCACAATTTAATAAATTTAAAGCTGACTAGCCCACGTAACTTGCTAATATGTTTTAGGGATATAATCTATTGTTGCAATGGATGCCTCATCATGCAACCTTGATCTAAAATTTCCCACAATTATTAATCATACATTTAAAAAATAATGGTCCAATAACATATTTACAGGTCATTCTTCTGTTGGGTACCTTACAATTATATTAATCCCACTGCGATAATGCATTGAGCAGTGGATACGCTGCTCTACTTAAGCCAACAACCTAGAGTAAGTACTCCCAACAAGATCAATGCTTGCAATTGTTCCATAACCTTAATGCTCCCACTTGGGTTACAAGCTCTCGTTACTAAGCTCAGCAAACCTTTGAACTCGGTATGCGTATATTAATTACGTCGTTAATGTTTTAATTAATAATTGTGGGAAATTTTAAATTATGACGTTCCAAAAATTGTTTATGTGTTATGTGGACTCCTTACACTAACATCACAACACATCACCAATCAAGAATTTTTATTTTGTCGTCATTAACTAAATATGTAGACAAATAAGTTTGAACATCGAACCTTATTGAATACAAATCTTACTTATGACCAATTGACCATCTCAATTAGAAACAAATCATGCTCTATTAAACCACACAAATATATAGAAGTACATATACATAATAGAATGTTGAATATAAGCAAAGAAATATGTAAAATCACAATCTTAGCTTCCAAATGAATATACTAGTAGGGTTTGTGTTTCAATTGACTCTAAAATAATAGGAAAAACTGAAAAAGATATATACTCCGTAACAATTAATCTCTGTTTAATTTGAGAATGAATGGAGTTGCAATTTTATAACAAAAATGAGAAGAAAAAAAAAATTGCTATCTAAATGAACTATTGACTCGTATAAAAAGGTGGTGGTCCATTAGAAGTTTGTAGTCAACTGTGCTGGCTTTGTTGGGGAGAGATACCGTGTTACAGGTGTGACCTCGTCCGTCTGTGGGAATTGTTTTAGGTCTGTCCTACGGCCCTACGTGTGTGTTAGCCAGCAGCTGTGTTTCATTCATATGTTGAATGTGCTACCGCCCTTGCCCGAACACAGATGCTCTCAAACTTCAAGATGTTCCACCACTTTAATGCTCCCACTTGGGTCACAAGCTTGCGTTACCAAGCTCAGCAATACTCATTGCATTGTAAACAATATATTAATTTAAAAATATTGGTGTAATTGATTGATATGGGATTTTTGGACTTTTGAACCTTTTTAGTTACTACTGGAATTAGTTTCCCTTTGTTTAGTCATTTTATACTATAACATTTTGATCTTATTTTCTACAAAATCAAAATCGTGATGTTCAATTGTTCTACAGAAAGTCAATAACTCTAGTATAAATTACTCCATATGTTGTAACATTGTCCATTATTCCCTACCTAGAAAAAATCTAGTATTGAATAAAGTCGTGTTTGTGATGGATCTACATTATTAGTGTACATTGGGAACTAACCATTTTCTTTTGTTGTAATTTTGATTATAAAGTGTGGGAATTCGAGTTATCAACGAACCAAGACACCAAGATCGGATCCAGAACACCGTATCCTCATTCTCAAGCATCATTTAACAAGTACATTTAGAAGTTTATAGTACTACGATGGTATCAGATCAGTTTTGATGTCCTTACCTAACACAAATGCTCTTAAATTTGTTACATCACTCCAATGCCCCCACTTAGATCACAAGCTTGCGTTGCCAAATTCAGCAATAGCCCTACACTTAGATCACAAGCTTGCGTTGCCAAATATACCATGGCAAATTCAGCAATAGACTCAACTTAAGAAAATTCTAGTATGGAAAATTTGCAAATTGCAGTCATTTAAAGTTCGTATTTTGCAAATTGCAGCCATTTAATTTTTTTTTTTTGCAAATTGCAGCCCAAAAGTTCATATAAATTGTAAATTGCAGCCCGATTCAATTTTTTCATTAGTTTACATATTGAAGTTCTTCGGTTATGGTTTTAGGGGTCATTTTAGCCCTTAAGGGCCCGAATTGAGCTCGGAATTAA